GCGCGGCAGCTGCTGCTGGACGAGTGGAGGCCCCTGGGCGGGCGCCTGCAGCTGCCCCCGCGCCTCACCTGGAAGCTGCTGCTCGTGCGGCGGCCGCTCTACCGCAACCTGCTGCGCTCGCCCAACCCCGAAGGTGCGGACGCTGCACCGGCGCCACCCGGACCGTCTGGATCTTCCTCTTGGCGGCTCAGTTTCCCTGTCTGTTGTTCCCACCCCCCTCCACCTTTTCATCCTTCTCGTTTCCTCTCTTGTCCTGTGTCTGTCCCTGCGTCCCTCTGTCCTGCCCCGCATCTCCACGTCCTAGCGTCTCTGCCCCCACCTGCGTCTCCCTGGGCGTCCCAGCCTCTGCCTGTCTCTGTCTCTGGGTGCCTCTCTCCCCCGTTTCACCGCATCCCCCTCCGGATACCGACCTCTCCCGGGGTCTGAGTCACTGCTCCCTGCCCTTCCAGTGCCACCCCAGGGCAGGGAGGTAACAGTGCGGAAGGACTGGCCTGAGGCTCCCCCTTTGTGCATTTCAGGGATCAACATTTACCAGCCAGCACCCCCTACCGGCCCCACCCGGCAGCCCCTGGAGGCTCTAGGTAGGTGCTCCCAGCGGCGCTAGGGGAGGGTGGCCCCCCAGAGGAACCAGCTGACCCTTGCCTCTTCCACCCCAGGCAATTTCCGGGGATGGCACATCAGAACAGAGACGCTCCAGCAGAACCTCAGGTGAGCCGCAGGCTCTGGGGCCTGCCCCAGATTCCCTGCTGCAGCCGTCTTCGCTGGGCAGCCTGCAGAAACTGACTTGGCCTCTACGGGCCTCCTTTTCTGCTGTCAATAGGGTTGGTCATGAGAGAGGATGGGGGCCAAGCGGGCAGCACGGGGCTGGCTCCTCGCCCAGCACCCAGTAGGTGCTCAGCCCATTCCACCTTTACTGTTACTGTTCTCAGCCTCTTTCCCCAGGATGGGAAGAGTCACCTGAGGCCACACCTGTCCTCCATTATCCGAATCCCCGCTCTGTGCAGTGGATGAGACGGTGGGACTTGGTGGCTTGGAGTCGCACAGGCCTGGGTTGGGTCCTGGCTCTGCCACTTCTTTGCTGCTTGACTTTGATCTTAAGCCTCAGTTTTCCCATCTGCACAAAGGGTTCAGATTGCATCGACTCCAGGGGGCGGTGGGAGCCACACGGTCAGGCGCAGCGCGGGTGGGTCACAGCGGGTGCCAGACCCCACCTCCCCTGCCCCCCTCTACAGCTGGACGGTGAAGCAGCAGTGCGTGAGCCTCCTGGCCGAGGGCCTGTGGGAGGAGCTGCTGGACGACGAGCAGCCGGACATCACCGTCATGGACTGGTGCGTGCCCGCGCATGCGCTTGGCGGCCCAGGGACTCCCCAGAGCCCAGACTCCCCTGCTCCCCGACACTGAGCTCCTCACTGACCCCGGCCCCACGCTGCAGGCCCCAGCTCTCTGGCCCGTACTCTGAGTCTCTCAGGTTTCAGCCTTTCCAGGTCCCTAAATCTTTGGGCTTCCCTGAGGCTGTTCCTTTTTGTATGAATGCTTGTCCCCTCTGTTATTGTTTTTCCTTTCTTTCTGGTCCTGGGAACTGAACCCAGGGGCAGTCTACCCCTGAACCACATCCCCAGCCCTTTATTTTCTTATTTTGAACAGGATCTCACTAAGTTGCTAAGGCTGGCCTCTAACTTGTGATCCTCCTGCCTCGGCCTCCATAGTTGCTAGGTTACAAGCATGTGCCACTGTGCCCAGCTTCTCTGTTATTCTTGGGATGGATTCATATATATGAGAACACACACACACACACACACACACACACAGGCTTTTTTTTAGTTGTAGATGGACACAATACCTTTATTTTGTTTATTTAGGTTTTTTTTTTTTTTAATGTGGTGCTGGGGATGGCCTCCTGCCTCATGTGCCAGGCGAGTGCTCTACCTCTGAGCCCCGGCCCAGGATGGCCTCCCTTGACGGCAGGAGTCGGTAGCACAAGGCTGGGGAGGAAGCCCTCCCTGACCACCCCCTGCTGGGTCACATGGGTTTGCCCCAGGGCTCTGGGTCCCCGTCCCATCCTGACCCCTCTGCCTGCGCCCCCCCTTCCATCCCAACCAGAAGTCACTGTCCCCCTGGACTGTGAGTCCCCTGAGGACAGGGCGTGGGGCTATCTTGGTCCCTTGGCTGCCAGGGCCGTCCAGGCTGGGCCTGCAGACTGGATGGGGGGGTATTGAGTGCGGGAGGGGACGCGGTTGTTGGGACGTGATGGCAGCCCGAGGCCCGACCCCGCCTGCAGGTACGAGGACAGCCGGCTGGACCAGTGCGTCTACGAGCTGCACGTGTGGCTGCTGGCCGCGGACCGTCGCACGGTCATCGCGCAGCACCACGTGGCCCCCCGGAGCTCTGGGCGTGGCCCCGCTGGCCACTGGGTCCAGGTGAGGCGCCCCCACGCGACAGCCGCTGCTTTCCCACGACCTCGCGGGCGGAGGGGAGCAGGTGGGGTCTAACCAGGACTCCCTCCCCCCCCAGGTGTCCCACGTGTTCCGCCAGTACGGCCCCGGGGTGCGCTTCGTCCACTTCCTGCACAAGACCAAGAACCGCATGGAGCCCGGTGGGCTTCGCCGGACCAGGGTGACCGACTCCTCCGTGTCTGTGCAGCTCAGGGAATGACGGGCTGACCCTGGGCCTCCCAGAGCCTCCCCTGACCCCGGAGCACCCCCTGACCTTTGACCCCGACCTTGGCTTCTCCCCTGAAACCTTCACTCATCCCTGAATGTCTGGCACTCTGAGCTCCAGAGGCAGGGCCACTCCTTGCAAAGTCAGTGCTTGTCAGATAGTAGGTGCTCAATAAACTTCCGTGAGTGAATGAACGGCCACCTGTGCCCTGGGATGCTGGGCGCCGCCCTGGTCTCCCCTCCCTAGAACTTCCCTCGGTTCATTTCTCCTTTGCAAATCCTCCAGCCCTTGGCCCTCCAGCATCTTCATGAGCCCTGGACTTTTTGCGCTGACCCTGACCTCTGTGATTTCTTCCCACTCCTCCCCAGTACAGACCACTGGACATCCCTCCACCATTTCTCCTCTGTCTCTTAACCCCTAGACTCTTCCCAAGTCCCCTCCGGCCCCAGCCCGTGCCAGTCATCATGCCCCAAGCTGTCCCCATGCCCCTCCCCCCACCATCCCTGTGTCTCTGCTCTAGTCCCCCAAGGTCTCCAAACCCAGATGTCCCCAAGGGCACTTGTCCCTAGGGTGGGGACACAGAAACATCCAGATTTGAGCGAAAGTATCTTCCACGTGTGGGGGGAGGGGATTAGAAGTTCTCAACCCCACCCCAAGGTCAAGCTCTAGCAGACCACTCCACCGTGCCTGGGTTGGGGGTGGCCAGGGCCCTGAAGGCCCCTGGTGTCCCAGACCCATCTCCTGAGGGTCCCAGCTACCTGAGGGCCAGAGCGGCTCAGGGCAGGATTTGTACCCAAAGCATAGAGACGTTTCACTACGCAGCCACCAGCCGGCTCCTCCCGGCTCCTCCCGCGCGTCTCTGCGTCCCACCCCAACTCCACAGCAGAGCTGTCCCACAGTCCCACCCAGTCCTGCGTGGACGTGGTCCCAAGCACACTAGATGGCAGACGGACAGCTTGTCAAGGGCTGTATTGCAGAGAGGGTGGCGGGCTGAAGGCGCCCTCCTCCAGGGTCTTGAGGCCGGGGTGGGCGGGGGCTGCGGTGCGTCCCTGGGGATCAGTAGCACCTGCAACGAAATCCGAAATGGTCACCGGGCTGTCAGGGCTCGGGTCCAGGGCGTGGTGGGGAGCTGGGGTGGGGGTCCAGGGCTCCGAGTTGGGGAGCGGGGCTGCTGGCCCGGGAGAGTGTGGCCGGGGCTCTTGGGGAGCGCGCCTGGGCTGCTTTGGGGGTGACACAGCAGGTGCCAGCGTCTGGGGACCTGGGTATTTGAGTGTAGGGTGGGCTCAGGGGCCTCCAGGGCTGGGCTGGGGACTCTTGGACTGATTTGAGGGTTGGGGCTGATCTAGGGGGTGCAGGTGGGTGGGGAGCCCCAGGGCGGCTGGGAGGGGTGTCCTGGAACGGTCCTGGGGTCTCCAGGGCTGGTGGGTTAAAGCCTGAGAGTCCCAGAGTTGGGTGGGGAGCTTTAGATGTGACAGTCTGCAGCAGGAGGCTGGCGTGGGCCTGGGGCTGCTCCCCTCAGGCGATCCTCCCTGGGGAGCACATCTGGGGGGGAGCAAGTGGATCATTCCAGAAGGGGGGCGGGGTCTGAGTTTAGGGAGCTGAGGGATCCAAGGGGCAGGGGCTGCCTGGCGCAGGCTGGGGTGAGGTGCCGGGGACCTTGGACGTGGGGACACCCAGGACTGGTGTCTCTGGGTGGCGGCTGGGGCGGCCCCGGGGCGCAGGCACCTGCAGTACAGCGCGGAGATGGCGTTGGACCAGTCCCCGAAGATGCCCCGGCGCAGCTCCTCCAGGCGCGGGTAGGAGCCGGAGGAGAACTTGTGCGTCTTGCCGGCCTTGCCCGCGCGGGACCACACGGTGAGCTCGCAGCGCGGCGCCACCACCAGCGAGGACGCCGTGTTGGCCCAGCCCGAGGGCAGGAAGGGCAGGTCGGCGCCCGGCTCCACCGAGAGCTCGGCGCCCCGGCAGCAGTTGTCGTAGTAGGGGTCGCTCTTGTCGTAGAGCTTGGCGCAGGTGCGAGTCCCATCCTCCCGCTTGAGGTCGGCCGGCACCGGGCAGGCGCCCTGGGCACCCGGCACAGCCACCAGGGCCAGGGCCAGCAGCAGCGGGCGCAGGAGGGACATGGTGACACGGCAGGGCTGGCCCCCTCGCGGTTTTATGCACCTGGGCCGTGGGAAGGGAGAAGGTGCAAGATAAGGACTTGGGAGGGAAGGAGGGGGCGCCCTCCCCCGAGTGGGGACCTTCCCGGCCCAGGCCATGGACACAGGTGGAGGGAGAGCAGGCTGGGGGCAGAAAGCCTGGCACCTAGCGTTGGACAAGGCAAGGCCACCATGGCCAGTAGGCAGGACTTGAGGTCATTTGCAATACATAGGTGGCTTGGGGTCCCTGCATGGGGAAGGAGGGTTCTCAGGCACTGACAAGGCAGCCGAGGGTGGTGGCCCCTGTCATCCCAGGGCACCTGCCCGGGCAGCCTAGAAAGGGAGAGAGGCTGGGAGCTCGGGGCTGGATGGGGCTGAGCGCAGCCCTGCAGGAGCTCCAGAGAGGACAGGGTCAGCGGCGCAGAGGGGCTGACCGGGGACGGGGACATGGCTCTGTGAGTGAGCACGAGTCTGAGCCTCAGTCTTCTCATCTGTCAAGTGGGTATTGCTTCTTCCTATAC